GGAGGGGGGGGAGGGGGGGGGAGGGGAATGCGATCTTCCACAAACAATTGATGAGCCAGGACAAAACCGATTGAATTCAACAAGTCGGACGTCCAAACTACAATGGAAGGGACAATGGACAGAAAATCTGTGACTATGAAAGTGTATAACACAAAAAAGGAGTAGAAAGTACTTGACAGAAATAAAAACAACAACAAAGAGAACTATTTTCATTTTTGAGAATTTTACACAGCATTTTGTATTGCAAGAATTGAGGTCAAAAAAAGGAAATTTGATCTCAAACTCTCATGCTTAGAATGCTTAGATGAATAAGGAGAATGTCAACACAAGACAGGAGGGGGTCAATGAGTGAAAGCGTCTCTACTGCCAAGTCCTAATATTCGAATTTATTAAAGCTGAAAAAAACGCGGTCAGTGAGTAAAATACACTTAATAAGAACATTAATCGCTTGTCTGTAAGCTCATTCACACCTTCTAGAGACTTCTAGTGGAACACCGCCACTCTCAGGAATTAACCCTGCTGCTCAACGTCGACTGAGACAAGCCATCCACTTCAAGTGGGCAACCTTTTGGCCGGAGGGGGGGGGGGTTAGGGGGTGAGAGATGAAGTATTAAGACTCCAATTAAAAGAAGGAATTTGCCTACATAATACTGCATACCATCAGAATAAAAGGAACAAAGGCACTTTTATGTTGACGCAATTAAAAGCACATTTACTTCGACCAGCCCAGCAGACATACACACACACACACACGCAACAATGGGAAATTAAAACGGCCAATCAACTTTTAATCCACCCAAAAAAGGAAAGCACTTATTTTGTGCCGAGGAGATGAAAGAAAGCGAAAGAAAGGAAAGGAAAATGATTGTAGAATTTGATAATATCAGTGTCAAAGTAGTTGATCACTCAATTATCATCAATTACTGACTCGATTTTTTTCACTTTGATGTTCCTCCTCCCCTCTGTGAAGCCAGGAGTCAACTAAAGGTCTAATGATAACTATCGAAACGCCTGTCATTTGATAAAAATAAATACTAAGAAAAAAACTGCTCGGAAGGAAGAGCTGGCAACCAGTGGGAAACCCACTCGAGCCAAGAGTTATTGTACAGCTTCTTCCGTAAGAACTAAAACTTCGGCTGCAGTTCATACAACACAAGCGAGCGTTTGACCGCATTTAATAATGAAAACCTCCAATTGAAGGGAGAGAAAAGAACACTATTGGACACCCTGTGGTGCGCGTAATGTGTTACTGGCATTCGTCCCCACCCCACCCCCACAGCCCCGCCACGCCCCATCAAAAAAATGTTGGTGAGCAAAACAGCAACTGTTAATTCAGCCAAAATGTCATTATTAAATCCAGGAAAAATCCGAACCCCTCTCCCTCCCTCCCCCCTCCTCTCCCCAGTGGCGATGCTGCTTATGGTACACAGTGGGAAAAAGATGTGTTAGCATATTATCACCAGTAGTCAACGTAATGCGTCAATTGCTACTTAACGATGCTACAGTTGTTATCACGCAGGTGACTAGGCACAGGCAGACAGGCATTACACACACGCAACAAACACATCAGTCAATCATACCAAACGCTGACGCTACACATGTCAACCGGGTAAATCCATTTGGAGCCATCAGTCTCATTAATGTAATATCTTGTAATGTGGAAAGGCGACTCCAACATCATGACTCCGGTGGCTAGCGAAGTAGCTATTACTTTTTGAATGCTTTGGCCGAGTCATGTTTCCTAATTGCCGCCAACTGTTTGTGCTTTCTTTTGGTTTATTGCCATTAACGCTATTCATATTAGCGTCTGATCTATTAATGCCAATGATCATATCGGGCACCTGAATTGGACAAGAGTTCTAGTACTCTAAAGAGATCTATTTATTTATTTATATGAAATGGCAGGCGTTTTGATAGTTATCATTAGCCCTTTAGCTGACTTCGGGCTTCACAAAGAGGAGGAGGAACATCAGAGTGATAAAAAGTAGAGAGAGGGAACAGAATAATGATTCAAAGATGTAAAGGAGACAGACAGACAGACAAAGGCAGAGAAAAGGTAAGATGAGTACTGTGTAAGTGGTCGAATATGACATACAGTCGGGTCACTAGCGATAAACTAAGTTGCTTTCTGAACGCCTGATGCGTTAGGAATGCCAAGTGTCGTTTTTGGACCCATTTATTACAAATCGTTTTTTTTCAGAGTATCCCCACACAAATTCGTTAGCGCACGCAAATACATAATAATATGAACATTAAACTGCAAAATTTCTCAGTGTACTGCATTCTAAATATCTTTATTTCAATCAAATGCGCTAGGCAGGAAATAATAAAAAATAGCACTCCATAGGAATTTTTTGGATAAAAGTAGATTCTGTGCAAATTTGATGCACTTAAATTATTTGACCACAACGCCAAAAATGAAAGACACAATAAGCTGCAATCGTCTTCGTTTTGTCAAATGAAAATATTTGAATTTGGCGGGGGGGGGGCCAACTTCAAGAAAAGTAACAATAATCACTGGAGGGTATTTCGAGCAAAAAAAAACCCCTATGAGTACGAATCCATAATGAAAAGACGTCTGAGCGAATTCATTAAAAAGGCCAAGTCAGCGTATCCCAAAATCAGACGCGCTAATTGTCCGACAAAGTAGGAGGGGGAAAATTGAGAGAAAAGACTGCATATAATTAGATCAATGAGGGGCGGGGCGGGGCGGGGAGGGGGGGGGAAGGAGTGAGTGAAGAAACGCATGAGACAACACATGCCTATTAACTGCCAAGTCAATTAATTATGCATTTTAGGTGGGAGATGTACCAACATTCTTTACTCCAATTTAGAGAACATATTAACAGGGAAATATATAAAGCCGAGGTCTAATCAAGAAATTCCAAATGGAAGAGTAACTTCCTAAATGACAAAACACATAGTTTACATCAATTATTTCGTCTAAATATTGGTTTAAATTTAAATAAAATCATCGTTCGTGGGAATTATCCCTAAATTTAGGCCAATCAGAACTTAATTTAATTACGACAACAATTTGGAAGATAATAAAGATGAAGAAGAACACGTAATAAAGGCGGACCTTCAAATTTCCCTAGTTTTTCAATCTATAAATCCAATGTTTAGGGTTACATATATGTCTATAAAATTTTCCCCTCTAGTGAGTTGATTAGTACATTGACGAAGAAGTACTAGAAAACTCAAAATACCCGAGCCCTTCAATAGAAACGCTGTGAAGTAGCGTAAAATCACAGGTTCAGGGTCTTCCAGAGTCTAATACTACTGCCGGCAAATGTCTCACATGGCAAAATTAGGAATAACAGGTGCGCTTGAGCTCAGTTTGTGTAAAGACACGGTGAGTAAGCAATTCTCTTGGTAGTCAAACTGTTCGACATTTTTTATGAGCAATAAACCTAATCTAGATGTAAAGTAAAAAAAGCATCTAAAAACAGAGTAGAGAGAAAAAAGTCAGACATTGTATGCCACTTTTCTTTCATCAGGACTTGAACGCCTTATGAGCTATTAAAGTCATCACGACTGAAGTTTACAGTCATTAACCACTTTTAGTTTAAAAGATGGGGTGTGAGATAGACTTACCTCCTCGTGGTGCACCCTGGGCAACGTATAATCATACGGCAAAAAAGTCTATCAACCGACAGTTGACTTCTGACTTCAAACTACCACGACCCCACTGTATGTCATATTCGACCCCTACACAGTACTCATCTTACTCTTTCTGAGCCCTGGTGCCTGTCTGTTTCTTTTACATCTGTGAATCACTCTTCTACCCCCCCCCCCCACCGAATTCTTCTCACTTTGATGTTTCTCCTCCCCTCTGTGAAGCTTGAAGTCAACTAAAGGGCTAATGAAAACTATCAAAACGCCTGCCATTTGTTATAAATAAGTTTAAAAGATTTCAATCAGACAATAAAAATTTAAATGGTGCTTCAAAGTCAGGAGGAATTATCGCAGAAACTTCCATGTTCAAAGTCAACTGAGCAATTGCTCTTGAAATAGAATAGAATGGGGGAGATGGTGCCGTCACACCTACACTTCCAGTACTACAAAGATGAGCCCAGAGCATACAAATCACTTCGTCCCCAAACCAACCAACCACCCACTCCATCCTCTTCTTCTTCCATACCCACGGTGGAATGTACATGGAATAAATCATTGTAGCCAACTAAAACCGGAGGGAAACATTTTCAACCGAAATTTATTGCTGACTATAATTGAGAAGACTAACATGAAAGGAAAATTGACCGAAAAAAAATGGATAATTCTTCAACACGGCATTGCCCGACCAATCAAACAGCCCCACAAATCAAAAATGACCTCCCAAAAACTTAGGATCTCAATTTTGAGGTTCCACAATATTTATCAGACCACTCCCCCACCCCACCCCCATTGCCACCTTTTTGGATCAATGAAGCACATCCCAAGGAAAATAAAATGACTTCCAAATGCGACTTAAGTCCAATACCGCTTGAACAAGTATGTCAATTCGTAAATAGCAATTCATTCAAGAGAGAAACGAAAACTTCACGAATAAATGGGAAAAACCGAGAGCTTTTAGAAGCAAATTGAATGTCTCAATGAAGAATTGACAACTATTGGGTGGGCAACTAAGTCATTCCCGTTTTTGTTGACAGATTCACTCTATACTTTCTTTTGTTTTGTTAACGTGGCCAGAGCATCTAACCTATATTTTTTTCTTACTGTATGGGCTTCTAGGCTAATTAGTAAAAAATTTTTTTGTTTAGTTCTTTAGTTTTGTTTTTATCCCAATTTAAAAATGAAAGGACAGGACGTGCACTTCCGACACATTTTATTGTATTACTTCCGAAAAGACAAGAACGCATCGCAAGCACAAAAAAAGTTATGTGCCGTATATGGAGATGAAGCCTTAAAAGAAAGGCAGTGTCGAAATTGGTTTGAAAGATTTCGTTCCGGTGATTTTTCACTGAAAAATTCACAACGATCTGCCTGCCCAGTCGAAGTGGATGAAACCCATATCAAGGCCATTATCGATTCAAATCGTCACACCACAACACGAGATGATATTGCAGAGAAGCTCAATGTGTCGCATACATGCATTGAAAAAAAATTAAAACCCTTGGTTATGTCAAGAAACTTGATTTATGGATCCCTCACCAGTTAAAGGAAATTCATTTGACGCAACGGATTAGCATCTGTGATTCGCCGCTACTGAAACGCAATGAGAATGATCCATTTCCGAGGAAGAACCTAGTTACTGGCGACGAAAAGTGGATAGTTTATAACAATGTTACTCGCAAGAGATCATGGGTGAAGCAAGATCAACCAGCCCAAACAGTATCAAAAGCAGAGATTCACCAAAAAAAGATTATGCTGTCAGTCTGGTGGGATCACAAAGGAGTTTTGTATTTTGAACTCATGCCGCAGAACCAAACGATAAATTCAAATGTGTATGTTGAACAACTCGAAAAACTGAAGGATGCAATTGAAGATAAGAGGCCGGCATTATCAAATCGGAAGGGTGCTGTTTTCCATCATGATAACGCAAGGCCCCACACATCTTTGGTTACTCGGCGAAAATTATTGCAACTGGGTTGGAATGTTTTGTCACACCCACCATATAGCCCTGACCTTGCGCCTTCGGATTACCATTTGTTTCGTTCCATGCAAAACTCGTTAAATGGTAAAATTTTTAACAACGGGGATGATGTCGGATCACACCTAATTCAGTTTTTTAATAGCAAAGACCAGACATTTTACGAACGGGGAATTTTTACTCTGCCAGAACGATGGAAAAAGGTCATCGACAAGAACGGCCAATATCTAATTGAATAAAGTTATATTTTTAAACAAAGATTCCGAATTTACCTTCTTATTTGAAATCGGCAATGACTTAGTTGCCAACCTAATAAATCCGAAATAAGGTCTACAAATATACTAAGAGCGTTAAATGGTAGCCGAAGCGTCATTGAAGCAGTTATGGATGCCATCAAATTAAGAAATATATTATGGAGAGCTTAAAAATCAATACTACTAAAGAAATTAACCTGATTAAAAATATAAAATTAAAACACCATAAATAAAGTTGGATTAAGAATTGAAGCCAATTTATGGAACTTAAGCATTAATTTATAAAAAAATAATGAAACACAGCGATTATTTGTTTTTTTAAACTAAGTTTATTTAGTCTGATAGACAATTATTTGCAAACAGATAAGCACAGCAATCTCTTGAATGAAATTGTGAACAATTAGACACAAGGACAAAGACCGAAATCGAATTTACACTTGGGCTAAGAAACTGAGGCATTTGGGCAAAAAAATTCCGAGGTCAGCATTAAAGAGGACAACAAACATTCAAGGAACAAATTAAATTAGTTAAATTTACAGAGCCTTACAATGGAAAAGGATAATTGAATATTCCGATTACTTTTGCCCAAATATTCAAAATAATAATCACATTAAAAAAGCGTATTTTGATTGAAAGAAATGGATTCTCCGCCAATCAAGTTGAACAGAGTTACTTCAACAGGTAACGCCAATATATAAAATATATATATATCGTAAGACTAAAAAATGTGTCCTTAGAAAACAACATATTTCGTCAAATGTAATGGAAGGCTCTGATGGCAATATAATTGAAAAATGGAGGCATCACAATTAGACTGGAAAATCGATTAAACAAAGGACTTAGTAACTTGTCTTTTATTAGTAAATCGATAATTTGCTAGGAGAATTGATGCACTATTGATTTAATAAATATATAACAGAAAGGTAAATTGAACTAGCCTCAACAACTGAAATCCCATACCAAATCAAACACTTCATAAAAAAGTGGAAATTGGGGAATTTGTGATCTAAAATAAAAGGATGCTCAATGTAATGCCCTGTTATTGACGTGAGGTGCAACAAAACGAACCAAAAATTGAACCATGCAAATTAGAGACGCAGAAAGTAGAATAAAAAGGAATGAAACAACACCAACCCAGCATAATGTAATCAATAAATCAAACATTTAAAAGTTGAGTTTCACGCCTCCCTTAGAATAAGGACAATTTCTTTAATATAAAAAAATAGTATAAAAAAAACGAGACAATTACAAATCGAGGAAAGTTTGTCAAATTTTCACAATGTTGGGTGTTGATAACGACCTCTTGGGGTTAGCAGCTAGCATGATAGCTAAATTGGAGGGTGGTAAACTATTGCTAGAATGGAAACCCAATCGCTCAGATGCCAGTAGAGTCATGGTCTGGGATTGGAGAGGGGCCAAGTATAGCAAAGACGGTGTCATCGACTTTGCACGAAATCGTCTGGCACCCCCGTAGGTCATATGCCGGTAGAGACAAGGTCCACAAAGTGATTTGGCAATCATTGGACAGGCTAGAAACCACTCCAGAACTGCGTCTCGAAAAGTCGGTAAGAAGAAGAAAAACACCCAAAAGGAGCTGGAGAAGTAGATAGAGAGCAGGGAGGAGAAGAAACGTGAAAGATGAACTAGACGAAGCCTATAGGATTCAAGATAGTGGTCTGGTCTTATATTTGTCCTATATCGCATTAAAATCACTACTACTAGGGGAATCATGAGAAGCAGGAAGGTGGTATTAATGGACAAATGGCCAATAATCCTCCGAATATCCCTACGACTGGAAATATCCAGTCCGCATTTCTTTTGCTTTCGCTTGATCCGGAAAAGTTGGTGAGCAATCAAAATGTTACAAATGAGGATCACAAGAGTTGGCAGAGTGTAGGAACCAAGGACGTAGATCAGAAGGGTGTAAGTAGCTCCGGGAAGGCTCGGGTTAGTCAGCGTGCACGAGGTTTTGTTGGTATCTCTTGAAACCACAATATCATAGAATAGAAAGGTTGGAGAGAATAGGGCTAAGCCGATGACAACAGCTGAGAGTATCACAACTGTCGTGCATCGAATGTGTCTATCTGCACGGAAATGCAGAGGTGAGCAGAGAGTTCTAACTCGATCCACCCCAAAAACAGCTAGAGTTGACGTCGCCATGAAACCACACGTATCTGTCATATAGGTTATTGTCTTACAAGAGAGCGAAGAAATCTGATCCAACTTGAGAGTAAATCGATAATACGTGAGCCAGCCCAATCCCCGTCCAAAGAAGTCATCCAGAAGCGTGTCAAAGATCAGTAGGAGGAGGAATGATATGGTAATTGTTATAGCGTAGAGATTGAACCTTCCGGGTGCTCTATGTTGAATTCGACAAAGAGTAATTAACGAGAGGACGTTTCCGAACAAACCATGGATGAATATGATTGGGGAAAAGTAGGCTCGAAATACGAGGACAAGGAGTTGAGAGACATCGTGACTTCCGCAGTCCATTGAATCGTGAAAGGGGATAGCGTTGTGATTGTGATCCAACCAAGCCATGCGAGTAGAAGAAGCAAGGCCAGAAGAGGAGCCGAATATGTTTGAAGGCATAAACACACAGAGAACCTATGAAGGCACCTTTTATAGACCCAACCTACTTGGTACTACGTTGTCCTCCATGAAGTGTTGACAACGTGTAGCGTGGTTGTTGAAAGCGTCGAGGTGCAAACGTAGTGGAGTGGTTGATAGGGGGGGGGGGGGGGGGGGGTGGAGGGAGGGAGTGATAACATAAGACACTCGCGCTAAAGAATGAAAGGAGTGGAAAGATGGGCAACCAATCGGATGATAGTATGTGTAACGTGATGAATGGCAATTCATTTGCGCCTATAAGAGTGGGGATGCCAAACACGGAAATGGAGTAACAAGTTAGGCGAACGGGTTCACTACTCGAGTTAATTACTGTTAGCTCTGATCATCCTGATGACCTGTGAACGATTATTAAAAACATTTGCGAGGTTATCAAAACGTAAACTCATAGGGCATAAAAAACCTATTAACCGACAGTTGACTTCTCACTTCAAACTACCATAACTCGACCAGTTTCACAGTGCTCACCTCACCCTTTCCACTACCTTCGTGTCTGTCTGTCTCTTTTACATCTGTGAATCACTCTTCCGTACCCTCCCCCTCCCCCCGCGACTTTTTGTGACTTCGATGCTCCTCTCCTCTGTGAAGCGCGAAGTCGATTTACACTCTAATGCAATTATCATAAAGCCTGCCATTTGATATAAATAAATATTTCCAATCGTTACCTAAATGGTGGGTTTTTAGTGAAGACTTATTTAAACCACCTCTCCCCCCCCCCGGTCCAACAATATTTTAACGCACCTGGAAATCGCAACACTCCTTAAGACGAGAAAAAAATTAATTTGTTTTTCACTATAATCATATTGTACTTTGCATTACAATTGTTAAGTGCGAGGACTCCAGTCGGAGGTGGAAGTTGGGAAATAACCCCCCTTATTAGGGGGAGAGGAGTGCTATCAAAAGGGGGTTCTAATATCATTTGCTACCGCAGGCTTCCACCCAGCACATAAGTCTTGGAAACTATTTTAATTAATTCACTTACGCATATTGGATGTTAGGATTGATGACAATCTAATTCTTTGTTCTTTTTTTCCCAATAAATCGGCACATTTGTGTCAGTTCGCTTACAGTTTTCTCAAATTAGAGTCAAAGCTTCGTTATATGGCAATATATTTCCATAGTCGGCATGTTTAAAATACACACACATCGAAACGGTAAATAGATGCGGTGCACCAAGCACACATTTGCTGCTCGTTTGAGGAGGAGGAGGTAAAAATTGAGGTCAAGTTGATAGAAAGAATTTCCTTACTATTGCCAATTGTTCGGATGCTCATTGAGGTCAACTACGGTTTACTTGACACTTTCAAAAAAACCAATTTTAATAGCCTACATTACCAGACCGTTTTGGTTAGTAGAGGAGACAAGTTTACCCAAGTGGAACATGAAGAGGCAGTCAGTTTGAAGGTTTGAACATAGAAGACATGAGCTTCATCAGAAGACTATTGAAGTAGAGGGTGAAATTTTTTACTTTTAACTATAATTTTCACAACGCAAATATTTCAGGAAGCCAACAACGATCATAAATCATGGATATCTGTGGTATCCAAGATCCAGGCCAGCAAACGAAAGATGTACTTTGTGATGTAGCGAGGAGAGCCGTAAAAGTGCCATTTTAAGGATATAATAATGAGTCCACTGAAACTTCCACTGGCTCAACAACAAGCCATTTTCTCCAAAAAAGCTGACGAATTATGCGATCAATAAGCAATAATCAACTCAGTAAATACTGAGGCAACGAGGAACTATGGCCACATGGAGGAAAAATGGCGTGTGTTAAAAGTTGGCCGTTGTGTCGCAAATAGGGTGATATAAAGTTGTAAAACACGCCGACTAAAGCACCCACCCACGCCATCAAAACAACAATTCCTCCAGGAAAAAAAGGCAACTATAAATTCAAACCTGCCGGCATGAAATATATATATATATATATACATATATATATATATATATATATATATATATAGTGGCAGGCGGACTCTCCACCCGTCTAAATGTCACTCGTGTAAACACCTGACCTTTCAAATGACCGGTTGTTGTTGTTGTGGTGGTGGTGGTGGTTCGAAACAAGAAAATACGAGAGAAAGAGAGAGACATGGAGCATTCGCTTTTAGTCAAATTCGCATGTGCAAAAAAAGAGTCTACAAGAGAGAATATTGAGAATGTTTCTATTTTTCTTTGCAAATTGCGTGGCCGATGCCAATAAAATGCCATTGAAAAGTCTAATTCAACTTAATACAATGTGCTCATGATAAATATCATTAAAGTTAGCACCATTGGAGCTTATTTTGAAAAGATGACGGCGTACGGTCCTGCAGGCCGTTAAAGGATTAAGCAGACATGGCAAAAACCACTTAGCTCAATTAATTAAATTAGCTTGAAAGACGTGAAGGCGGAAATATTCCTTCAATGTGAAAATAGTTAATCATTTAATGCATTTCCCTCGTGTTACACCTAATTAATTAGAGTGACCTTTCTCTCCCCCCTATGTTAGGGGGGAAGAACAGGGCTGTCAAACTTGTAGATCGAAGGGGTTAAAAGAAACAGCACAGCAATGGAGTTCGAGATTGTGTGATATCTACAATTGAAGAGGCGTCTCAAAACCACCAATTAATCGCACTGCCAGTGCTGTCCCCCAACTGTTAGATGATGAATTTTGTCAATTGAGAAGCATTTATTATGACACTACTTATTGGAGCCCCTGTTTTTGCTCCTCGACTACCTCATCTTCCCTTTTTAACTCTGTACAGCGGCTCAATAGAACCACTGTGTGTGTGTGTGCTTCACTCAATTGTTGAGTTCTCCCATTCAGGAAAATTCTTGCTTGCGAAAGCCTTTGTGGATGTCACTAATGCTTATACTTGATCGGATTCATGAAGCATTTCTTCCTCGTTAAAGAAGATTCAATAGGCTGGGTGCTGTTAATGCTTCCTCCAACAGGTAGCTGGAGATAAAAACACACCGTACCCCCACCCCCCCTATAACCCCCCCTATAAACACTGTGATAGCGAATACTCCATTTCCAATAGACCCCCTTGAGGAAATAATACCAAATGTCCTTAAAATGAGTAAATGAAGCAGTTATTGAATTGATTTAAGACGCGAGAATTTACGCACCATCTCACCTCTACTTCACCAAACTCGATTGAATTACAATTTTACGGTTTAATAATCTCAAGCATACTGGGGAGGGGGAGAGGGGGAGGGAGAGGGGAAGGGAGAAATAAATCAATTCAAAACTAAAGGAAAAGATGATGATGATGATGATGCAAGGCAAGTTTATAGCACTTTCAGGAAAAGAGACGTTGGCATCTGTAAGTGGACTCAATTCAAAAATTCCCGTAAAAGTAGAAAATTGCCAACCCCATTCCAGAACGAAGTCGCTCTCTCTCTCCCTTATGAGAGACGCTGGAGAACACGAGGAGTACGATCGATTAGAAAAACAAAAAAACAAAAACAGAAGGAGATCCAGATCTCAAAGGGAGTTACGCATTTAAAAGGCCACAAAGAACCTGGGTACCCCCACAGGCGACGTAGCTCGTGGTCTCCTCGGTGGTTCGATGGACAAATTTGACAAAGAGGAGGTATCTTTTTTTATTTTAATTTCTCTCCGATCGAAATTCTCCAACATTCTTCCCTAACTGAGGTGAATAATCTACCACCAGTTTGACATTATGGGGTTTCAACCTCGTGACCTTTGACTTGATCAAGGCGTTTGCTCTCTACTGTCCTCAGTAGAAAATGATGTTTTTTTTCTGAAAGGCGCAGTGAATGAAAGACGTGTGCTTAAAAAAGGATAATGTACAGGAAAAATCCACCTTCTAGTTCTGTTTAAATTCGACGAGAAGGAAAGAGTCATAAAATTCAGAACGTTCAGAGACAGCACTCAGTGTATTCACTCTTTCTACTAAAACTGTAATACCCCCTCCCCCCAAATCAATTAGTTCAAATTTTTCCACACGTAAAGAGTTGGCAAGCAACGAATAAAAAAAATTTAATTAAAAAAAGCACTTTTATCTCCTTACCGCCCATATTTTCCGACATCTTGAGTTGTTTCATTGATTCAAGGAGACCTTGAATGAACTCTTGATTGTGAAGTTCATCTGCCCAGAGAGGACCCGCTACAACAAAGGAACTGCCGCATTGAGGACACTGTGAACTATCAACTGGAGGTCCTTGTGAAGGTGCGAAGAGATTGCGATTGCTGACGGTACCCATCCGTTGTAGACAGAAGGACTTTAAAGAGTAAACGACAATTCAAAATTAAATTAGTGTAAATATCTAACATCTATTTATTTATTTATTTATATCAAATGGCAGGCGTTTTGACAGTTATCATTAGCCCTTTAGCTGACTTCGGGCTTCACAGAGGGGAGGAACAGGCAAGGTGAGAAAAATTCAAGAGGGGGAACGAAGAGTGATTTGCAGACGTAAAAGAGACGGACAGAGAAAAGGTAAGATGAGTACTGTGAAAGTGGTCGACTATGACATACAGTAGGGTCATGGTAGTTAGAAGTCAGAAGTCAACTGCCGGTTTACAGACTTTTTTGCTGTATGAGTAAGCGTTTCCCAGGGTGCACCACATGGAGGTAAGTCTATCGCACACCTCACATCTACTTATACCAACTCATGCATTGCATTCTGACACAGCATTAAACACCACCAACAGTCATCTATGACACTTCCCATACTTGATTGCTTAACTAAAATGGATATTAAAAAAAAAACTGAGTTTCACAAAATTTTTTTCATCCGAGTATAATGAGTGAATCTCACTCTTCTCTACGCAAAACAAGTTTGCAGCATGTCGAATATTGATCGCGTCTGTCCTGGCGTAAATAAGGTAATTGAGCTATGTTATTCACATACACCAGCTTGACGAGCGCTTGGGTGGTTTTCAAGCTCTCCGAGCAATTCTTCCTTTCTCTCTCCAATAACCCCCTTCCCCACTCCCCTCCCCTCCCCCCTCCCTCCCCACCTCACCTCTCCATTCCACCCTTCTCTCCCCCTCCTCACATGAAATGGAGAAATGCAAGAAAACTTTTAGAAATTACATTAGAATTACTCTGCTAACTGCATTAAGGCCCTAAATGAAATAGATTGTCCAAATTCAACAAAGATTTGTAGATGGATTGAAATTTATTTCCATCATTTGAGACGATTTAGACAATTCTAAGTTGGTTATTACACAAGCGCCGTCCTTTGAAGCATACACTGACGTTAAGCTCTAATGACTGTCATAAACGATATGCTACGTACACTCCATCAGACGTTCATCAATGGTCTATTTCGATCACTCCCCGAGGGGCAAGGAGTCCATCATGTTGTTTTCAAAGTCATAAAACAATGAATTAAGCCTAAAAGGGAATAAGGCGGAGTGGGGTGGGGGGTGGGGTGGGGGGGGGGGTTGAATCAAAGCAGAATGAAGCATGTCCCTTGAAATGGCCAATCATTTGACATAAAAATAAACAAACCCAACGTAGTAATAAAAATTTCAAGTTATCATAACGTAATAACTAGTGCTGACTGTATGATTTATTTCCATTTAGGCTACAACTTTCATATGCTTTATTTTTTCCCGATTAAATAGTCGCTCAAACCATTACCATTTTTGATCTAAAATCTCCACATCCAGTCACGGAGGCTCGATTGGACAAAAAAGGTAGTTGGGCACTGCGTAACACCATAAATAAATCCACATATTTCCAATCACATACTTGTAATATTTACTTAAATTGCCTTCAAATTACCCCTAGCAAACGACTAGTATATTCAAGCCAATTGGTCGATTTCAAATTGAATTCTTCTCATGAACAATGAGCTTGACAGTCAGTAAATCGTGTGATAAAGAGAGTGCGCTTTGCAGAGCAAATTTTACGATCTTTCCGTGAAGGGAGACATAAATTAAACTCGCTGAGAGAGTAAAGGAAGCACTTTTGCCATGGGAAGCGAACCCATTTAAAGATGGGAGAGGGCGAGTGGGATAATTCGAAATCCCCTAAACACCCCCCACACACACAATGATAGCAGCCAAAATAGAGGGGGCGAGAGAGAGTGAAATCAACTGATAAACTGCAAGAAAAGTGGTGGTATTCAAACTAGTGGAAAACACCAACTACTGCTCTTGAAGGCTTCCAACATATTAACTCATCATGAGTTACTTGCAACCAAATCAACAGAACGCGTTTCCTGAACTGAAGTGAATTATGCTAAGCTAAATTGTGCGGCATAATCAACCACGAAGTTAGATCTGCCGACCGTTCGCTTTGAAATAAAGCGGTTGTCATTGGCAAGGTGTAAACAGGGATTTCCCCTTAAGGATATCCTTACAACCCATATCGCTAAATGGTATTATATTAATCAATTGAGGGATGTGCGAAAGACTTACCTCCACGTGGTGCACCCTAGGCAACGTATACCCATACGACAAAAAAAGTCCATAAACTGGTAGTTGACTTCTGACTTCAAGCCGCCAACACCTCACCGTATGTCATAGTCGACATCTACCACAGTACTCACCTCACCTTTTTCTCTACCTTTTCTACCTTCGTCTTTGAAACACTCTTCTGTTCCCCCTCTCCCTCTCGACTTGTTTCACTTTGATGTTCCTTCCCCTCTGTGAAGCCTGAAGTCAACTAAAGGGCTAATGATAACTATCAAAACGCCTGCCATTTAATATAAATATTAATCAATTGATTAGTAAAATTACTAAGTCATATATGTCCCAAACTACATCCTGTGATTTTGATTATCTCATCACAGCAGTAAATGCAAAGCGTGGGTATTTTATAACACTCAAGATAGGAAAAAAATTTACTTCCTCTTATAAAAATATCTTCACTTATTAACGCCAAAATCCTAACAAATATTAACTATTAATTTCGATTTAAAGTTGTGGTATAATAATATATATATATATATATATATCTTCTGAAAATTATTTAAAAATCACTAAAAAAGGTAGCTGATAAAAATTCAAAATTGCTATTCTGAAAGGCAGGTAGGGGAAAGAGAGAGAACTAAAGCCGAGAAAGCTCTTTGAATTAACACTCTACAATCCTATATATATATATATATATATATATATATATTTTACGATATTCGCATAATGATTCACCCAAAATTCATTTACTTTCCAGATTAATTAATTCTTAAGATAACACGTGTTTTTTGCTTGAAAGCGCGCGAAAAACTAATTCAGTAAATCAAAAGTGTACTGTTGCGATTTATTAGAATAAAAAGTATTTCCAATGTAATTATTTTTTTGGCAGAAACGACGAAGTGTCAAAAAATTTCGAGTTGAAATTCAAAGTAGCCTTAACTGAGCCCTCCTTCCCTAATTACCAAGTAGGAGGAGATAGAAGGAACGGAGTCGCCCTTTTCAAGCCTCCTCAAGACTTGGTGTCTTACTGAGTAGGTACAAAGGAAAGTACTTAATCAATATTACTCATGTATACTAAAAAACTTTTTTTTCCCAATTCTACCAAACAATAAACTATCGTGAAAGCGCTTATTATTTCCGCCGTCATTTTAGTACAACAACTTGATTACAGGCTTTGTCACAGCCCTGGAAACCTCCCAAATAGCCACGATTCCCCGAATGGACAATCAATTAGGGGAGAAATAACAAACCTTTCCATTTTCTCCAAATTATATCCAACAATGCTATAGTGCCCTTTAACAACAACTGCGGGTGACTAGGCAAAATTGTTAAGTCAATTTCTTTTTTTTTTGAGGACAAAAATATTCCAGCTTATCCGAAAGCGTACTGGCATTATACTAGCAGCTTATGGTTAGGCAGTGGGAGTGTGAAAGGAGAGGTGACAAGAGACAGGAAACTTAGTACCCTCCCCCCCCCCCCCCCCCACCCCCCGAGGGAGAGATGGGACTCAAATAACGGAAGTATTCATCCTGTCTGAGCAAAACAAGAGTACAATTACTCGCTTATACTCAGTTGTTTCGGTTGCAAAGTTGTTAAAAAAAAACTCTTCAAACGCAATTTTTTATCAAATCTACAGCTGCCAAAAAAACTCAAAAAATGGAGGGAAAAAGAAGGCATCGCTACAAAGACAGTTTTTTTTTAATTAACAAAATAAATTAAGCATGAGATATGGAAATGGGGAATTGATGTCGAGTGTAAGTAGCATGTTCAGGTAGACTTCCACACATAAGATCATCTGATAATTTCTCCAGGATGCATTGGAAGTGAAAAAAAAACAGAAAACTTTAATAAAAATGAGTCATTGTTTCCAGAATTATCCAAAAATAGTTTCGCGATCACGCCGACTGGGAGAGAGAGAGTATAATTCACTCATAAAGTGCCTCCGAAGAGAATAATTAATTGACAGAGGGAAGGGGAAAAGTAAGGCGCCTCCAAGACGCCCACATTAATTAATTACTCTCATGACGAAATGTGAAGAATTTTATAATTTCCAACATTAATAAACTCCACTCCACCCCCCGCCTTGGTAACTAAAATTATAATTGGGAGATATTTGCTTGTATACGTATGTATACGTGTATACTTAGCGGGGGAGGGGGGAACGTGTCCAAATGGTACGCCACAACCATCAACTGGTTGACAAGCTCCGACCACTTCAGAAAAAAATCATGCAATTTGACCCTTCCATCAAGAGAATATGATTTTGTGAAGCAGATCCATTGAGAAGAAAAAGGAGTAGCTCAACGACTAGTTGTTCTCAATGTTCCCACAGATGAAAACACGAAAAGAAATTATAAATGCTGAAAGGGTGAAAAGTACACAAAACGGTGATTGGAACAGTGGGCGCAATGGTCAACATGTGCGTCTAACAAGTCAGAAGTCTACTCGCTGTGCGCGCAGTAATCACAATTAGTAAGCCAGGGGGCAAAGAGCAGCGAGTTTCAACACCGAGGAGGAGATTGAAAAATATCCCATCCTTCAACAAAGCGTCAAAAACGAAGTGTTGACTTAAGTGCTGCACATAGTAGTGTTAACTTGGGCAGGAATCGGTGCACCCTTTGTTAATACACCTATTTTTGTTGTCAAAGTAATCGTATATAATTGGTCAAACACGTATACTTAGCAGTGAAACAGCGCTTGAAGGTGGGAGCATGTATTGCTATGGTGACATTCGCCTCAATAACTACCAAAGAATGGCTATTCATTCAAAGGTGTTGAAACCTTGCAGCATTAGTTGTTATTCCAGGAGAGAGAGAGAGAGAGAGAGAGAGAGAGAGGGAGAGAGAATCAAGATCATGAAATGTACAGAATACAACGACAAAAAAAAATCAATAAGAATTCGATTTAGTCTGCATTTCTATTGATAACCAAAGAGGGAAAGAACTATATATCTAATGTCCAGTTTATATTGTCACTGATTGATTTAACAATAAACCTAGTGTTGGAAATTGGCGATAGCAATAATCCAGTCCGAAAAGCTATGGCCTTTCGATATTTAAGTGGACCTCTTATCAGCTAGATTAATTTTGAGAAGATGTAAAGGTGTCAGCGAGTTTCGAACCAGTGCACCCATCCCCCCTTGTCTGGGAGTTCAGCAAATGCCTTCCAAATTCTCAATAAACCGTGGAACCAGCACAGCATTGACAAGGGCAGTGAATTAAAATGAAGGCACACACACACACACACCCACACACAAGTAGATTCTTTAGTGTTTTGAAAGATTCGCTTGACTGCATTCTTTGCCAGTGTACACTACACGTGTTTAAATGTTAATTTGATTTTTTCGCATTTCCAATTTAGTAAACAGAAATGATACGCGCAAGATGCACCTCATAGAAAACAATTTTTGGCCTTCGAAAGTTATTGGGGTACTTTAAAGAGAGAGAGAGAAACAGGCTTCAATTGCTGTTTCTGCTGGAAAACAAACTTTAAATTCCTTTGAACTTTATGAGGAGGCGAAATATTTTTCGTTTTTTTTACGTGGAAATCTAGTGATCCAACTTTCACCAGTTACTATGAAACATAAAAAAGGAAGACGCCTATATATATATATGAAGACATAACTGCAACAAAATCAGTGAAAGATGCGGCTAAAACTTTTTCACGTTCAGGGTAGAAAATTTGAAATAGAACTTTTCAGGAATAAGACCAATTGCTTCGATTGTATCGAAGGAGAAATCGGTTGCTCAAGACGTCACTCGGCGAGTTGGAACTATGCGATAGTCGCTTGCATTGAAACATCCCATGAAAGTCCCATTCAATTAACAGCGCGAAAAATCCCACCCCACCCCACCCCCCA